ACGGAAACGCGAGCATTGTGGCCAGCAACGTTATAAACGTTTGATAGCCTGGCCGATCCAGGTAATCCAGGTAATAAGCTTTTAATTAGTGACTAGCGGAGAGCAAAACGTTAAGATAAGAAGAGCCTTTTCCTGCTAATTATTTCTCTGAACACCTCGAAAATCAGGACGGTACTTCGAGGATAGCTTCATGAAAAGCCACCAAAAGACTTGTTTATTCCACTTCATCCAGCGCAATCTCCTGGCTTTGTGCAAAAACATGAAAAAGACAGTGAACAGAATATGCGAATGCATGCAATACATAAACCATAAAATTAGAACGACAAAAATGAATTCATAAACAACAAAAAAGATTACATTCTTCATATTCATATGTTCTTCTGAACGTTGGATTGCGCAAAGAAAATAAACGAATTGTCTTGCAACGTTACGATACATTATCAACGACTCTTCGTAAGCTGGTGAAGGTGATAACTGCTGAAAGTATAAAATATACGCTGACTGAACAATCTGAAAGGATGTAACTCGATAGCAAAGTCTAGCAAACATACGAAACATTTGAAAGTAACCAAAAGATAATTTTAGCTGAACAACAAATACGGCCACGAAAGCTTTACAGATTCAAAACAGATTTGTTTTTTTCAATATCCTACTATATGAAAGTCAAAAAGAAGTGATATTTCTAGTTGAAGATGATAGACGTTCTGCAGATATCGTTTAGCATAGTGGCTGTTTTTGCTTTATGGCAAACAGTTACTTCTCCTTCAACAATCCGCTTAACCCTGATTCCTCCCCCTTTGGTAATATACTACTTTAAAAGACAAATCAAAAAGAAATCCAATAGTTGATCTACTGACCAGGAAATCTGCAGCCAACATTTCGTTAACTGCATTAAAGGGATCAATTTCTTATGATCGAACAAGCATTTTAAAAACATTGCTGCGCAACTGTGGAAGATATATTTCAGCAAACCAACAAAAATGACAACACTAGCCCACTCAATTTTCCTCACGGCACTCTCAAATTTCTCCTGTAAGAACCAGTGGTCCACTCATTTATGTCCTGACTGACTCAATAGAAGCGGTAAACATCACAAATAGCCGACAGTCAGTGAATAAATAGTCAAGTGTCAATGCAAAAAAACGTTTAAAATGAAACTTACCTGCATCTGGGCAGCAGTAAAATAAAGTGGAGTGGTGAACGCTTGTGGAAGTGCATTGAAATATGGTATCCAGTTGGAGTTCGGCATTAGTTTCTGACAACAGACCATTAATGCCAGTGCTACATTATCCATTGTTTTCACTATCATGTCCTTTTCGAAACATTTTCTGAATTTTGGGAATATTTGGTGAAATCGAATGAAAATTAACTGGCGAAGAAGTGAGCTNACTGCAAAAACAAAACGAAAAGTGAATTGAAGCCGTACAATTAGATGACAAGAAATATTCTAGTAATAAGAAATTATACTGGCTGATTGGCCGTCTCACCTTTACAGCATCTTTTTAAAAAGTTTCAAGATAATACTTCAGCGTATAATGACTGCTTACTTTAGCATTGAAGATTTTCATGTGTTACCCCAAGTTTCAAGATAAATCACATCCACAATACAAAAAACAAAGAGGAGAAATAAAAATACTGGTGAAGAACTGAGCGAGAGTAACGCTGGAAACGCGGTTTTTTACAGCTGTGACATAGTGTCGAGAACAATTGTCGTTTTTCTTACTAAGCAACGAAGCAGTGTCATCTGACCAACAAAATAAGAGTATTGTTACTGAACTATTCCAAAATAACCCGCATTACTTGAGCATTGCAGATTTACGTGCATTATCCCAAGAAAGCATCGCCTTTCGTGGCACTCGCAACAATTCTGTATCTTTTGGAATGGGCTGCGTTGTCTCCAATCCGAATCCACGTTCATCGTTTGAACACCTAATCCGAATTCCATTCATTTCGATACACATATGGTCGGCCCAATCTACAAACCGTTCAATGGCCTCCTCACGACTACCAACAGGGCTACGAACGCTGAAAATACAGTGTGATCCACGATCCAGGTTACTAAATGGCCGACACTAGATTTGATTAGAATGGAAGTGAACGAATAGCACTTACCTGTCATTTTGAGTCAACTGCTTTTGAATTGAATCAATTTCGTCTAATTGAAGTCGTATTTTCAAATGTTCATTCCACAAATCGTTAGTATTTGCGGATGGTACCCTGCATAATACATTTTCCCAAAGATCATTGCAAAGTTCCAATAAATTGAATCGCCGTTCATTTACTGAACGTATTGCTGATCGCTCCAAGTTTGTGGCCATATCGTTAAGACGTTATAATTCACAAGCCTGGAATGTACCATTCTAAAACGAAAATTCCATGGTAATCATACAGTTTGAGCACGTGAAATTATCATTTCCGAGCATTCGTCTTCGTCAATACTGCATCAGGCTCCCGTTTGCCATGGCCATTTTCGGGCATTCACAGTTTTCTTGATGATTGTTCAACAGAAAACTGACGAACATTGACTATATCATTATCAGTATAAACATTCGAATCGGTTAAAATAAGCAGGCAGATATTACAATTAACGGTAATCCTGCAATATAAGTCAAGGAAAAGGGGGTGTGGTCTAAGATACGCAGAGCACGCCCTAGCCATCGCACACACGAAGACATTTTGCCACAGCTACGTTCGCATGTGTACAACTGCTTCTGGAACAATGAGAAGTATTTCAACTGAAATTAACTCAGTTTGAGTAAAATGAAAAAATTTAAAAAATTTAAAATAAACAAATAAATAAACTAAATTGCAGCTAAGTGTGATCCAAACAACGAGAAGTAAACCAATAATAAACACTAAACAACAACTGGGTAGAGTTTAGATTCATATTACGGATGTAATCAATTTACCCGAGGTTAAAAAGGAACACAGTCAAGAATTGTAAATTTATACTCGAAGCTAAAGAGTATTGACCTAAAAGTCGCACGTAGTCACAAGTGTGCACTGGAAGTCATAAGCATACTAATACCAACTTAAATGAATCCGTGCTGGATAGCAATACAGACACAATGTATTGGAATCAGCCACTCAGCTGCGTTAGATGGCTTTAGAAAATCGTTGATATTAATATTCTTCTCAATATAACGGAATTTCGCAGTAGACTTCTGAATGTACTGCGTCAAAAAGCAGCCATTTAACCCGGGGGTATTACTCCTGTTGGTTGCATTAACTGTGGGCGTGGCTAGTTACCGTAGTCATTTATCCCCTGGGACGGTACTGCTGTTGGTTGCATTAACGGTGAGCGTGGCTAGCTACCGTAGTCATTTATCCCCGGAGCTACTGCACATAAATTTCATCGAGTAGCTACCTACATCAGGAAATATATAACTATTTCAACTATCGCAGTGGCGCTATAGCATCACAAGAGTTCATATATTCAAGCTACCGGTATTCTCAGGTTTGCCCTCAGGTTTGCCCAGTAACATATCAAATTCTCTACAACATTCAATTCCTCAGAATCTCTGGATTCAAAATATTACATATTTTGCTGAGCAGTACTGATTACATGAGGAGATGTGGCTATTTTTTTAAGCAATCTCAAAAAGCGCAGAGGCGCTCATTCAATACATTGTATCATTACAGATCAATGCACATATTACTATACCGCAATGCGGATTAACAACTTCAAAGTAACTGTCAGAATTACCCAGTAACACATGAATTTCTTTACGCCATTCGATTCCTCAGAACCTCTGGTTTCAGAATAACATATACTGCACCGAGCAATAATGATTACATGAGGAAATATGGCTATTTTCTTAAATCAATTGAAATAGCGCAGTCGCGCTCATTCATATCTATTGCATCACTATGGATCAACATCAAGACACTACTATGACTCTATAGAGGTTACCATCTCCAGCCTAACCGTACTCTCAAGTTTGCCCGGTAACATAAGAATTTCGTTTCACCATTCCATTGCTTAGGATCTCAACTTTCAGAATATTATATATTTTGCCGAGAAATTATCATCAGGTGAGGAGATATAGCTATTTTGTCAATGATATACGGTTTGCCATCATAGAGTCTATTGTACTCTCAAGTTTATCGATAACACATGAATACACTATTCAACTGTACACCATTCAATCCAGTGGAATCTCTAGATTCAGAAAATCATATATTTTGCAGAGCGATTCCGCTTAGTTGAGAAGATATAGCTAACTTATTAAAGCTCTCTCAATTAGCGCAATGGTGCTCATTGATATGCATTTGCCCACTAAAGATCAATAGATATTATGCATTACTATAGAAATATAGGTTTGATAAATTCAAGC